GGTGGCAGGGCTGCTTTCAGGGTGCAGTGTACCTCAGAGACAGATATTTTTTCCTCTCTTTGGTGTTCACAGCTTAGTGTAATTTCACCTGGAAAGAGTTAAATGCCAAGACTCTGCATTTTGCTAGTGTTCTTTGTTGGCAGGTATCTAATGACATTGTAAGCAGTGATTTTGCTGTGGCTGTGCTGACATCTGTAGGGATTACAGCAGCACCATTAAAGATGGACAGGAGCTCATGGCCCATTCCCAGAGGTACTGAGCCATCCATCCTCTGATAATTTGCGTAGCCAGGAAAAGGGGATATTTTTTGTATTTTCAGTAAATCAAAGGTGACTGGATTGAGTGGACAGTTTGGGACTTGATGACTCTGCCAGAGCTCATGCTTTTCTCTTTTCTTCCCCCTTGCTAATGCAGGGCCGGAGCAGTGGAGCTATGCTCAGGGGTGATGCTAGTGTTTCTTGTCATCTTTGTTGGGGGTTTTGTAAAGCCTCGGTAGCATGTCAATTATATATGATGGGTGGAAGCCTAATATTCTGTGATAATTAGAAGGCAAGTCTAGTGTGAAATTGGATTAGGGTCCGGCATTACAGTCCGGGATTCCTTTGGTAGTTGGTTTAGAGGAAGTCATAAAACTCCTTTAAAGATGACACAGATCCATGTGTTCTAGAGGGGAGAGGCAGAGCACAAGGCTGAAATGCTGGTCCTGCTTTCAGGTCCTCAGCAGTGTTTTCCTCCTGCTCTTCCACCACCCAACATTACCCCAGCCTGATTTCTCACATGGGAGCAAAGTCCAGCAGTAACATCTCAGACCATAAACCACTTCTGGCTTGTTTACTGAGCTCCAGTGAAGGGCTGGGCTGTGTGGGAAGCCTTTTAAAGAAATACTCACCCCCCACCTCCCAGTAAACTGCTGCTGGAGCTTTAGCTAGTTTTGCAGTTAGCTGTCCTTAAAGTATGAACTTGGGCAAGGTGAGGAGGAACAGACTGGGAAGGTGTGCTAGACATCCAGAAACAACATTTTGAAAAGGTCTTGGAAAATTGCTTGGTAAAGAGAACTGCTTTTCAGTATCAAGTAGCTCCTGAGTTTGTGCTGCTCATTTACTTATTTGATGAAAACTTGTTTTTCAACACATTGCGAAATAGTTACTTGATTTAGAAGAAACTCTGTGTGCCTGGAGTCTGCTAAATGCAGTGTTTCTGTAATGGCTTAAATCATAAGTTTGCAAGATTACCTTTCTGAGTGCATTTGCTTGGATGTACAGATGGTAATGTCATGTACCATTACATTTCTGTCTTTAAACAACCACCTCCATTCCCCAGAGATGTGCTGTTAACCAGCCAAGGAGCAAGTTTCTTTCATAATTTTTGGTCCCTCATTTCTCTCTCTGTACTCATATGTATCATAAAATAAGGAAAAGTTTTGCTGCAGCAGGCAGGCCATGAGAAAGATCTGCTGCAAATCCATGTCAAGCTGTGGTGATGGCGTGCATATGTGGTAGATATTTGGAGTCAATCTCTGCTACTTGAGCTCTTTTTGCCATGCAGTCCCCGATGTGATGATTGCACACCCTGCCAAACAATTCAATAAAAAGCCTAACTTGAAAGGAGGCTGTGGCAGTTATATTTTTGCTGTGCTCACACGGTGATAAATTACAAAAGCTGCCGAGGTTTTTACACTCAACAGTAGATGAAGAGTTGCATTGTTTGAGGAGTTCTAACTTGGGAAATAATTATTGCCGAATGTGTCCTTGACAGTGAGCGCACACCATGAGCGTTCTCTACGTAACAGACATTAGATGTCTGCTAAGTACACCTAAGTACAAGTATTAAAGAGTATTTTTCATTCATTTTCCTTAGAGGAGTTCACTGCCAGTTTGACAAAGGGCGTTGGCTTTGATCTGGGCTCCAGGCTGGTTGTGTGTGCATAACTGGTCAGTGCTCACATGGAGCTCTCCAGCCTTCATCCCTTTCATTCAACCAACCAACCTGGTTGTAGCACCCTGGTGTATGAAAGCTGTTTGATGATGTCTTGCACCAGGGTCTGTCTGCACTGGATGAGTCCTGTGGATGGATCCTGAATGGATCAGCTCTGCTAGCAGATTTAAAACATCAGATGAGAGATTTCTCACCCACTGTGCCAGTGTTGGTGTTGGATGTATCCTTAGGGATGCTGTTGTGCTTGGGACAAACCTCTGTGTGGGAAAACTGGGGCCCCCAAGTGTCTTCCAGTGACTTTCCAGTGGCATCTCGCACTGTGGCATAAGAAAACTGCAAGAAAAGCAGCCCACAGACCTAAACTTTCTGTTTTTAAAATGCTGGGTAGCAGAGTGCATGATTAGCACTGAGTAGCCAGAGCTCTTCAGTTCCAGACAGAGCTAATTCTTGATCATGAGCCAAGACCACATAGTGCTGACATGACTGAGAAATATCTTCCATAATTAGATTGCTTGGTCATTCATTTTTGAATGTCTGAGTTACATTTTGGAGCATTATTTCTTAATGATCAACCAAATGAGATCTGTACAAGCTTGATTTACTGTCAGTAGTGTTCTTGCTTGGCTTTGCACGTGTGTCCTGGGGAGGCACTGTCAAATCTGGGACAAAGGGGATTAGAGGAAATGATTTTGCTTTGTAACATTAGGCAGGATGGTAACTTTAGTTTAATAATGTAAATAGATGTGAATCTTGATACCTGTATTTGTGAAATACACTGGGCTTTTTTTAATGACAAATAAATTGGAGAAGTTGTTAAAGCCACTGTATTAGGGATTGTAGAGCATCTGTGAAAAACTTCAGAAGTGTCTGTGAAGTGTAACTAGGAAATAAAATCCTGGTATCAGTAGGTCTGAATTTGCTTTGCTGCTATTCATGGTTAATGTTGTGTCAGAGTCCTTAGTCCTGTGTTGGAATTGTAGTGGAGATTCAAGGTGAAATAAAGCAGAGATGCTTGGGCACTTTCTTATTTTGATGCTTGCTGGCAAGGTGGGCTCAGAGAAGAGTGCCCAGGCGTGCTCAGGGGTGAATTTAGAGGGCAGGATCTAAAAATCTGGATGCACCCCTTCTTCCATTTTAAATGACTTACGAAGCTACCTGGAGTTGCCTCCCTTGGAGCTATGGTTTTTCTGCTGGAGGTGCTCCTCTGAGACAGAAGGAAGTAGTCTGTGAAAAAAAGATATAACTATAAGGAGTCAGTGAGATTTTTCTGTGTTTTCCAAAAGCTATGCTTAAGCAGTGCTGCTTCCCGTAGCAGACTTTGAGCTTTCCGTAATTGAAGAGCAGTGGATGGTCTTGTGCAATAAATTTGCTGTGTCAGAATTATCTGCTGGTCAAGGTCTCTCTGGAATGCCACAGAAAACAAACAAACCCTGTAGCACAACAGGGAAATAGATTTTAGGAGGAGAGGTTCTTCGAGTTGTATATATAGAGAGGGAGAGAAAAAAAAAATAATATTTGTGTCATTTTTTTAAGATGGTCCCGAAGAGTCTGTAAGGAGACACTAACCTTTCTAAAGACATTGTGGAGAAATCTTGCACAAGGCAGGCAGAGCATCATCCTGTTGTGTTAACCATGGGCAGGCTTTGAACTGTCCAAAACCTGCTTTTGTTTCTCTAAATCCAGTTTTGATGCTCTAGCAGGTAGAATGGATGGCTCTTCCTTAAATGTGTGGTGCACTGCCTGTCAGGAAGATGTTATTTTCTGCATGAGGGCTGACAAGTCCTTTGCAGCTCTGACAGTGAGTCTCTGAACCTCCGTGGTGGTTGGAGGTCCTTGGTGACTCCCAGGGTGGGAGCAGGCAGGGAAGAGCTTTCCCTTCTCCATCTGTTTCCTCAGAATGAAGGATAAGGTCTGGCAGCAGGGTGTAAAATGGGAGAGAAGGCTGCAGCTTTCATGTTGGCTGTGTCTTCTAAAATACCATCTGACTTGGAAACATGAGTTTCTCATCTTGACTGCTTGTTTTGATTGTATCTTCTGTGTTGACAAAGATTTGCACAATTTGCCCAAATTTGAACCACTTTGGTATCAGCCCACCTACTTTGTGTTGGTTCTGTGTTGGTGGGGCCTGTCAGAGAGCTGGAGCTGAGGATTGCTGTGCCAAGGGTTTATCTTGGCCCACAAAACTTGACAGTGGCATTTTACGGGTGCTGCTGGAAGGGGACAGCTTCATCCCACACCGCTGCAAGGCATCTAAAAGCAAATTATGTGGGTCCAGATCCTATGTCCAGATTGGCTGAGAGATTTTGAAATGAAGCTGTTGCAGATACTGAAACACTTGGTGATGATCCCCTCTGACCAAGCCAGCTTGAACCAGATGACTCTTAGGAAAGGATTAGCTTAAGGAAAAAAAAAAATCTGTTTGAAGTCTCCAAAAACAAGCCCTCTGTTTCCTCCAGGATGATGACAGAAAACTTCAAAATTAGGAGCTGGGAAATATAAACCATTTTCATGAGCCATTGCATAAAGCAAGTATAATTTAGTGTCAGTGACAACTGTGCTTCTGAGTGAGACTACTTCTCTGATAATTGGACTGGGGAGGGGTGAAGAAAAAAGCACTTATCTGGACAAAAAGGGCCATTGCCACTGATGTTGTGTAGTAACTGAATGAACTGGAAGTACTTAAAATACTCAGCAAAAACTTCATTCAAGTTACCATGTACAATATATCTATAAACAGGTCAATTTTCTGGTTCTTCAAATTATACTGTGCAGGAGGAGTATCTGTTTATTGAGTATCAGTTTATTTTGAGTATCAGTTTATTAACTGAATAAGTAAGAAGACACTTTATAATATTCTTGTGGAAAGACAGGTTTTTTACATGTATTGATAAAAAGTTTCTCTAAGGAATCAGGTTTTGATGTGCTTGGTCCAGTGTTCACAGTGGGGGGGATCTCCTTGCAAGTAAATGGTGCTGCAAATCTTCACACACCCTGCCTCATGAGACTTCTTTTCTCTGGCATAGAAAGTCCTTTTAACTTGGGATATTTTCTTCTCTGCTTTTCAGGTGACCACTTGAAAGTCTGCTCACAAGGCTACACATGCTGCTCTCAAGAAATGGAGGAGAAGTACAGTCAGCAGAGTAAACATGACTTCAGAAATGCTGTCGTAGAGCTTAGCAATCACCTACAAAACATGTTTAGTTCCCGATACAAGAAGTTTGATGGTAAGTGCAGAGACTTTGAACTTGCTGTCCTTGGGATAAAAATGTGAAAAATCCCCATCCTGTTGTTTTCTATGCAGTTATTCTGCTCTGTCTCCCCCTTTGCTGGGAAAGTTCATGACTCGGCTCAGAGGGCAGAGCATGCCTTGTTTTGTAATCCTGTGAGAGAGAAGTATTTGCTGATTATGGCTGCTTGTTTCCCAAAGAGAGAGATCTTTCTTTCTGATTAATCTTTTGAAAAGCTATTTTGCTCTAATGTAAGATTGCAGTTAGTTTTGTTGGTACATCCCTGCAGCGCACATAATTGTAACATGCACATCTTGCAGCCCCAATCCACAACAATGCTCATCTTTCCCAGCATGTTGTGAACCCACAGGATTTGTATCCATCTCACTTTTAGCCTTTGGGGCTAAGCAGAGCAGCAGATAAATGCAGAGTGGTTTTGTGTGGAGGCCGAGGTTTCAAGTGTGATGCGGGGTCAGAACCATAATGAACAAGTCTCGGCTGAGTTCCCATCGCTGAGTGATGCTAGCTGCTGACAGATGAGCAAATGACTGGTCTCAGTATTGCCCCTGGGTCCACAGTGTGTCCTGTCAGACTGGCTCTCCATAGGGCATGCCTAGCTCACAGGAGCTGCAGAAAGAAGCTCCCTTTGGAGGTAGCTGGCACACAGCCAGCATTGCCCACCTTGCAGCCAGGTGCTTTTCCTTTGAGAGCACCTCTGCAAACAGCTGAAGTTGATGCCTAGACACTGGGCACAGAACCTGGCTGAAGTCTCAGGGCATTTCTTGGTTTGCTTCTGAACTCTTGGTTGGTTTCTGTGGCACTTTGTAGGTGCCTCAGTGCTCCCAGACACTGCAGCCTCCTGTTGCCTGGGCATCTGGGGAGGACGAACAGGATGTCAGGCTGCTGCTTGCGTTGTCCCTGTAGGCTGGGGGACTGAGGTGACAGCCAGCTTGCATATGGAAGTGTCTGACAACTCAAGTGGACTGGGTTGTTCACACAGTTCTGCTTGTACATCACCATCACACTCTGTGGTTAAGGGCAATTCTCCCATGCAGCTCCTCTGGACATTTGTTCCCTTGTTTGGCCATTGGTTCAATGTGAGTTTTCTATGAATATCCCAAAGTCTGTGCCTTGAACCTCCCAGCAAGCTCCTCTGCACTACTACAGTGGGTTGCAACCTTTTCCTTTCAAAAGGGATTGGCACTAGGGTGAGAGAAAAAATCCCTGGGTATGAAATTGCAGTGAGTCAAAGTAGAATTATGCAATCATCTTGATAGCATCTAAATCTGCTGGCTAAATATTTCCCTCTTAACCTCTGTTGTCTCTACCTGCTGGTACACCAAAGGGGTGATAGAGGGAGAACTAAAGTGTCTAGACTTGCAAGCTTATTAAATGCAGAACAAGACACTTAATGAAATCCAGCCCATAGATAAGCTTGTTCAAAGAGACCAGAGGAACAGCATCTGCTTCACCTTAAATGAACAACAAAGCTTTTTGAAATGCTGCATGGAAAACAAAGAGCATGCACGGGTTGCTGCATTAGCATCCCTGACGTGGATCAGACATCTTGTGAGGTGTCTGCCCCTTTGTGGGGGGAGAGATGGCTGCAGGGCTGTGTGAGGGCAGGGGGACATTAAGACAAGCTGAGATGGGTGCCTGTCAAAGCACAAGGCTTCAAAATAGGTGAGCTTTGGAAGGGAGCCTGCACAAACTACTCTGTCTGTTCTCTGTGGTTCTCCTGTCAGCCCCATAGAGCATCCTCTGTGCTGGTCTCACTCTCACTTTAGCCTGTGAAGAGCTTGACTGGCAAGTCTGGAAGGGGATGGTGTTGTTCAGCTGTTCCTGAAAGCTGGATTTACTGTGCCTGGCCTGTCCCTCAAGGGTGTGTCTCTGCCTCATATGAAACTAATGAAGGAGAATTGGCAACCTCCTCAGCCTGTCCCAAAGCCTAATGACTCTGTCTTTGAGTGCTAGTATCAGAACTAAATCTTCATTTGCTGCAGACAAAGCTGATTTAGGGATTTTTTAAATCTTACCTGGGGTGGAAGTAGAGATGAACTGATTACCACCCTCCATCATTTACCTCTTGGGAGGCTTTTAATCTTGACAGCCTTTCTCCCTCCAGCCCAGTCACCTGGAGGCTGAAGGCACACCTTCCTGCTGGTTGCTTGGGCAGGTTGAGGAGTCTCCCTACTGAGATCCTCAAGCTCTTCTGCAAAAATATTGGAGTTCCATGCCTTAGACTGCTGTTTTTAAGAGCCTGCTGTTGAATATTTGGCTGCTTGTGGGATGGTGTTTCCTTCCTTTGGTCTTGATGCTTGGTCATCAGATCAGCTGTGGTCAGTTGTATCTTGCATGTTTGAGTTCCTCTTGCCCAGCATAATTCATCCCACACTTTTTGATCTAATGTACCCAAACTACAGGAAGGAGAGGCAATCGAGACCTGTATATTTGTGCTGATCCTTAGGGATGAGACTGGAAAAGGACAGTATCTTTCCAGAGCTGCTCTTCTGCATGAACCCAAGCTCTGATATTACTATTTGCAGCTATTCAGGGCTTCCTTATCACTTGTAGCTAAATCCATTCAAAGGGAAATAAAACTGGCAAAAATGAGCTGCACAGCTTCCTTAGTTTAACATGAAGTCCTCTGTGCTAAAGCTTTGCAGAGTGACTGAGTAGGCAGGATGAGTAATTACAGACACCAAATCTACTTCAAGTGGGGTGGACACTTCTCTTGTGGGGTGACACATCCCCGGGCTGTGATCGGCCACTCCAGGATGCAGCCCAAACAGCAAACCCTGTCCCTCCAGCCCTTTGGAAGTCTTTGTGGTGGGTTCTCTGGCTCCTAATCTCCCAGCCTTGACATTCAGGTCTGGGAGGAGAGGCAAACCTGTCCTGCCTCCGTTATGTGCTTGACCTTTGCAGCAGTTGCTGCTGCAGAAGGACAGTCCAAGTGGCGGCACGTCCTTTGGACAGAGGCTGGGATGCCCTGTGGCTTCTGGAGCGTTTGCATCAGCTGTTGCTGGAGCGCTGTGTGCTGTTGGAACTGTTGCCAGAATTGCTCTGATCTGACACCAAAGCCGTACAGAAATGGATTATCTCCTCTTTAATCAGGAGCATGGAGCAATCTGCTGATTATCCATCCCCAAAACCAGGAGTCATTTTGGCTCCCAGTGCGTAATGTGACAGCGTCAGATCCTCCTGCGCGTATTTGGTTTGCAGGCACCAGGAGAACTTGTGAGTTCAGGAGTCCCATATCTTACATATCCTGTCTAAATATTTGCTTACAGTACAGGTATGTGTGCTCCTGGAGGTCTCCCCTGTTGTAATTTAAACCACTAACCTGATGCCAGTGTAGCAGTAAGAGATGCATTTTCAGCAGCAAGGGAAATGCTTTTTTGTTAAAATAAAAAATACTTTGTGAGTTGTTGGATTCACCATTGCTAAATAATTTTAGAGGTGAAGATTTCCTGGTTAGTCTCAGATATGTTTATGGGCTTCAATGAGAAATTAGTGGGTAAAATTTTCTGGCATTGTAAGCATCTCCCTCCATAACAATGACGTTCATGGGAAAGCTGTAACTGACGGTGGTTGCATCTAATGCCACAGAAGCAGCTATACCAGTTAGGGATTTAAACACCCCCTCCCTTTTTTTTAATAAAATCTCTTGTGCTTTTTCTTATCTTCACAACTTAGTGCCCTCCCCTTCACTCTCTCGGGGATTAATAACATTAATAGAATTAATGGTGACATTAAGGCTGTATAAATGCTCAGTTCCATGTATTAAATTTGAACTTTCACCTCTTTTGCCCTTTGAGGCTGAAGTTTTCCACGCCAGGGTTTGTGCTAGCCAACAGTGCTTTGGGGAAACTGCTCAGCTGTTTTGAGGAATTGGAGCCAGGACAGGACATAGCCCATAACTCTTCTGCAGTGTTTCCGCTGTTCCGTTGCTTCCTAGATAAGATGTTCTTACTTTTTGTTTTTAAAGACCCATCCTGAATCTTTTTGGAAAATGTAACTGTTGTGCCAAGCCCTATTCTGGGGGAAAAAATAGAGGGGCTGCTGAGTCTTACAAGCTCCTTGTTTCTCCTGCCTCTTTGTGTTTCACAAACACTTTTGCTGTTGCACTTAAACCAATTTGTGTCCCTTTCTTTTGTGCACTCTAGACTTAGGCAAGGCAGCAAACTTCTGCAACCCTCACTGTACAGGAGAGAAATGTGTGAGATGGTCTGTCTTCGGGCTGGGTTGGCAGTAGGTTTGGTGTTCCTAATGCCCAGACGACAGAAGAATTTGTATCAAATGGTACAGCCCAAGCCAGCATTTGGGAAGCAATTGAATGCTGAGAGTTCCATTTCTGATTCAGTCTCCCTGAATTTTCCATTAGCACTTAAGATAAAACAAATACAGAAGTGTAAAAGGAAACAATAAATGGAAACAATAAGTGGAAAGAAACCAAATCCAAGAAGAAAGAGCTGGCCAGGGGTTCCCAAGTCCATGGTGCACACAACTCCTCTGCTGTATAGGGAGCGGGCAGAGGGGCTGGAGAGAGATTCCATGGAGTGGACTCCATGTTTGTATTGGTCAAGGTAGCTACAGGTACAAGGTGTGATCATGAGATGAGCATCTTTGAAACATCCCAGGGTGCCCTTGACCTTCTAATGTGAGCTCTGTGTTGCTTCTGGGTGCAGGAAGTTCTTCCAGTAACTGGCCTGTGGCTGAATTTGAGAGACTGGTCAGGAGAACATTGGCCAAATAGCTTCCAAGCTCTGCTGAAAATGGAGGAAAAAGCCTGGCATTAATTTCTGAATTTAGTTTTTGTTCAGATAACCCTTTGCTTACAGCTGCTGTCTGCAGGTATGAGTTCTCAGGGAGGTGTGCTGGTGCAGTGGGATGCATAGCTGGGATGTGTTAGTAACTAGGAAGGACACAGAAGGGACAAGGGAGAGCTTTTGGTGGTCTTCTTTCTGCTGCTTCAGGCAGTGTGGAGGCAAACAGTG